TCTTTCTTTCTTTCTTTCTTTCTTTCTTTCTTTCTTTCTTTCTTTCTTTCTTTCTTTCTTTCTTTCTTTCTTTCTTTCTTTCTTTCTTTCTTTCTTTCTTTCTTTCTGGTGTAGGTACGATGATTCCAGTCAAAGGCTTTACTTCTATCTAATGCAATCTTTCTCAACTTTGGAACTTTAAGTTGCATGGTCTTCAACTCCCAGACTGTTGTCACAGGATCTTCTTCCTTTCTGCCAGCCTCTAAAGCAGTATTTCTTTAACCTTCTCAACTTGGAGATATATGGACTTCAACTCTCAGAATTATTCAGCCAGGCATGCTGCCTGAGGAATTCTGGGGATTGAAATCCACACACCTTAAAGCTGCCAAGGTTGAGAAACACTGTTCAAATGAAAACCGAAACAAAGAGTTCATATGTGGGATCAGAATTCATGCTTTGTCAAAGATTGGATTGTTATTGCATAGTTGGACAAAATCTTACTCAAGTTTCCATTTAGTGTTGGAAACCAATTAAACTGAATCCATGTCAGGATAATGGATTTTGCTGGCTTTTAATTCCTTTTTCATAGTTAGTGCAGTAGACCCCTGAAACAAAATTGATCTTGTCAGTCATCTCCCTTCACTTTGTTGTATCATATCTTAGCTATATATTTGATTCCATTATGCATCCATTATGGTACAGTTGTTATGATGCTGTAAAATTTCTTTTCTACTTATTTATTCTTAGTTGGTGAGGGAAGCTGACATCTTTGATAGGCTGTTTTCGGCTTTCATTGTAGCTAATGTATATAAAATTCATGAATTGTTCTGACCTGAACCTTGTTCCAAGGAAACAAACATGAAACAGAGGTAACAGCAAAACCTTTTAATGATTCTTTACGAATTCCGTTCCTTCACGGTTAAAAGGCTGTTTCAAACTAATTGTCTCTGATAAAGAACGAGCTTTGCCAAGGTTGTTCAAGGCTGCCAAGAACTCCAGATAAAGTTACTAAGAAATATTTCAAACACAAAGAGTCGCCAAACACCAACCAAGATATTCTGAATGTCCACAAGGCTTGAGTACAAAAATTTATTTGCTTCCTGCAAAGAACTCCGGTTTCTCAGCTGACTTTTATCTCTTAAGGGAAGGACCATTATCTTTCAGCTTTACTCCCAAGTCGCCCGTGATGCTGAGCTGCTTTTTCCTTCGAGCAGCCCTGCATACAAGTGCACTGGGCACAGGCTCCTCGAGGACCTCTTCATCACTGCTGCCAGCCTCCACAATCTCCGAAGGCAGTATTCCACTCCCTCATGGTCCTGGCCCCATCCCTTCATCACATGCAGGCCCCTCATCTGAGTCCTTGCTCTCTGAGACCTCAGCCGTCCTCACTTGCTGCCGGCGAACCACAACATGAATGTAGCTAGTGCCCAATAAAGAAGCCAGGGAATAACTGTATCAGCTCTTAACATTGTTTTATATTCTAATTTATATTCTAATTGCTCAGCTTTGAAATGTCATTCAATGCAACAACAGCATTCTCTTACATGATGCCCTAAAATGTTTGGCATTTTAATCTGCTTCATTTCTTGAGACAGTGAGCCAACACTTCTGGGGGACACCCAAGTTGAGAAAAGCTGTTTTAATACATTGTTGGCCTTTGGAAAGTAACACATTTTATGCATAACAAAGGTCTTGATGGTAAACATATTTTGAATACCTGCATCATACTGCCACTCAATTTCCCCCCTCTTTCCTGTTAGTTGTGTTTTATTGCTTCCAAGCAACATAAAATATTCTGCACCTTTAAAATGGATGAAGCATTAGCATTTGCTTATCTCTTCTAGTCTTTCCCAATATTCTGTGGGGAAATTAATTTTTAAATAAACTTCGTTACAATCTATACACATAATGCTCTTGAAAGATTAGAAAGAAAAACACTGTCTTGCAGTGTTGAAGATAAAACTTCCTGAAACAAATAAAAAAAGAAGTTTGCTTTATCATACATTAAGGACTCAGATTTTTAGATTAACAGGTTTCAAAGGTTAAAATTGCTTTAGCTCATATTAAGGACTTAGATTTTTAGACTAACAGGTTTCAAAGTGTAAGTTCTTAGTCAAACGTTGATTTTTTTCAAAAAGTAGGCTACTGTTTTAACATTAAGAGTTGTACTACTTAGAGTCTCACTCAGGCAGCGTGCTGAATATTTTTATATACTTTAGCTGTAAAGTTAAGCAGGTTTGATCCTGGCCAATCCCTGGGAGAAAATCACAAAAGGGAATTGTATGTGCATATGGAGAAAGAATGTACTATAATGTTATAAATAAAGAATGTCAATGGACAATTCTAATTTAGTTCTATTTTCTGATAAAAAATCTACTATTTTCAATCATAAATGCCTTGATTAGATAATAAAAAAAAACTTAGTGACAGCCAACTAGTTAATCCTGGTTGTATATTATATACGACTGCATCAAGTCATGTCATTCTGCTGATGGAACAGCATTTATTTAGACAAGGCAAAACAAAGAGTCATTTATACATTGATGCGCACAAGATATCTTAAGACGTTCAACGACGCCAGAGATCAACAGGATAAAATAATAGCTTTCTGCTAAGTAGAATGGACAGAAATGCTGATGCTAGATAAGTGCTGAGAGCCTACAAAATGAAGCCATGATGAGTCTCCTGCTTATTTCACTGGAAGCTGACGCCATGTTCTCTTTGAAGGTATCTTTATACTGATTAAGAATTCCCAAGACACAATTGTGTCTTATGTCATATGGTCCCTGTACCACAATATTTCTGGAAATAGAATTTCACAATGTTCTGATTCTAACTCGCTGCTTATTTTAAGTTAGGAAGAACAAACATCATGTAATGAAGAGTGAACTGGGATGGCTGGTTCAATAATTTCATCCAGATCATTCTGTTCTCCTTTTACTCATGAGCCTATATCTCTGTATGGTTGCCAAAAAAAGAAAAAGGTGACATCAAGTCTTGCTCTTGATGTCATCAGGAGTCATGGCTGGCTTAAGGGAAATGTTACTTTTATGTGTATATTAATAAAACATTAGCAAATATGCACATGACTTTACAGGGCCAGGAAGAAAGCCTGAAGAAGACAGGAAGAATATGGATGGATGAATGGATCAAATGGAAAATAAATTATCAACCCAAATAAACAAAACCTTTGATGTGTGGTGTACCGTTGATGCTTCACTAATAAGAATAGCTGCAGCAGTTATAGAACAGTGGTTTGTGGATTGTGAGTTTGCTAAAAGATGTTGCCAAAATTTCTGGTAATGTTTGAAAGGGATAGTTTATCGTGTAAAAGAGTTGTTATTGTACGCAGTTAGAGGAAGACAATTACTTTTATAGAAAGAGATTCCAATGAGCCTTCATTTCAATTTCATTTGAAAGCGAGCACAATTGTTAGTTTTTTTGTGCAAAAAGATTAGTATCTGGTAATATATGCATATACAAAGTTTAAGTGGCTGATTGATGCAACACAAACATCAATTATTGTTCTTTGGTGCTTTGATGAATAGTGAGAGACCTGTTGCACAGATTGCATTTTGTTAATATGAAAAGGCCTATGTGCATGAATATCATACTTGGATAAATGGATAAATGGCTAAGTGCCAAGTTCCTACTTTGCAGAAAGTTTAAAAGCAATGTATGTTCTGGCTTCCAGTATTCATGAAGGAAAAATATAATGGGTGAAAACAAAGCAGCTAAGCTATTGGATAAAACACATTTAATCAAAGTGTCTGTAAGCAGAAAACATTCACATGTTTCTGCTTTATAGCAGCATTTTTCTGTCAGGGTACTTTCCTAGACTCTTGTCTGTAACTAGCAGGCTTGAAAAACCTTGAGGAACTTCAAAGTTGGTTTGCTATTGCAGTAAACAAGTTTGCTGGCAAGACAGACCTATGAATTATTTAATTTGATTAGGTTTGCAAATGTTTATGAGGTCTTTAGGCCCCTTCTCATAAAATATATGCTTCTGTAAACTCACCATGTACAGTGTATGCAGTAAAGCAGCAGCATTAATAGATTTCATGCCAAGGTACTAGCATTTCAGTAAACTAGGCTTTTTCATTCTGGTACTTGGCAAACTATTTGGATTTGCAGCCCACCAAAACTCCCAATTGGGATTGCCAAAATATTTGCTGTGTATTATACAGTATTTATGTATTTATGCTTCTTTATAATTTGGATTTATAAGGCTGCCCCAACTTGAAACTGAATAGGGGGAGTGGAAATTAAAAACTCGAGGTGTTTTTATGCTAAAAAAACCAGACAAAATGAACCCAAAGTAAACTCACATATCAGGAAACACATATCACAAAACAAATAATAAGTAACAAATTGACATATTGTGACCTGCTCCACTGTTTGTGGAAAAAAAGGTTTTTAAAGACCTTCTGAAGGCTGGCAGGTTTTATGCACTCTGAATTCTGGGGAGGAGCCATTTTAAAGGACAGGAGCCATGATAGAATAAACTGTTTACCTCAACTAACACTTAATTGTCAGGACATAAAGACACCCGCTCTGTCAGATTTTACAGGGCTGGCAGAAATGTCAGAAGAAAAATTGACCCACGGAATGCCAGGGTCTTTGCTATAAAGAGGTATATAGTTTATTTCCAGGACTTATTAGTATAGATATATAATATATTGGTAACCAATGCAGTTTGTGTAACAGAGTGTTACAAGAGTGCACCAAGATGCAGGCACAGCTGCTTTTGTTCCTGCATTTTGACCAGCCTTACTTCCAAATGGTCTTCAAGACCAGTCCTATGTACAGTGTATTGTAGTAGTCCACACATGAAACAGGACTTTTACTCAGAAGTCTGCAGAATACAATCGCCATGGAGAAAAATTGACACTTTTTGTTCTGTACAAGTCAATTTACATACTCGTAGCCCCGCGTCGCGATTGGCTAAAGCGCGCGGCGACCGGATTGGTCGAGCGAGCCGCACTGATTGGCCCGTTGCGAATCCCCCGCGATTGGTGGAAACTAATCGCGGGAGATTCGAAGCGGTGTCATTGGCCGCGGCCGCCGCGGCTCGGAAATAAAAAGCCGCAGTTTTTTCCCTTCAAGCTTAAGCTGTATCCGGAGCCAATAAAGAGCTGAACTAAGTCACTGACTCCGAGTTTCCTTCCCGCGACGGACACGACACTGGCGACGAAGGTGGGATCCAGAGAATAACCACCGAGCACGTGTCCCGAGGAAGACAAAGACCGACGAGATGGCCAGCATGACCCCACCAGCACCCTTCAACCCCACTACCGAGGACTGGGAATCGTACACGGATAGATTCCTGATGTTCCTCGAAAGTAGCAATTTGAAGGATGCGAACGGGCAGAAGAAAAGGGCCGTCTTCCTCACACACTGCGGGCCCGCAGTGTTTAAGATGGCCAAAGCCCTCGCGAAGCCCGAGGATGTGAAGGCGATGGACTGGGCCGATCTCGAGCCACTCCTTCGGAACCACTACGCCCCCGCTGTGCCCATCCTCATCCGGCGGGATGAGTTCTATCGGCGGAACCAGCGGCAGGACGAGAGCATTAGCGACTTCATAGCCGCCTTGCGAGACCTAGGGGGGATGTGCGAGTTCAGGGACCTGGACGATGTCCTCCGAGACCGCGTGGTCCTAGGCCTCAGGGATCAGGCACTAAAAAGTCGACTGATGGCAAAAGGCAACATCGACCTCGGGGACGCCCTGGCCGAAGCTTCCGCAGCCGAAGCCACCCGGAAGTCAGCAGCCAGACTTCGGAGGGCAGACAACGGGGACCGCACTGAAACCCCCGAGACAAGCCGACGAGAGACCACCACACACCACGGGGACCTGGACTCCGCCTCCGATACCACGGACGAGGAGGAAGACGTCCACCGACTACAAACAGGACGGGACCGGCGAGATCAACGGGGTCGTAAGTCGGGGAACCAGTGCGCCGGGTGCGGGGGAAATCACCTTCGATCAGAGTGCCGTTTTATCGACGCGATCTGCCGCCATTGCAACAAGAAGGGCCACATCGCCCGAGTCTGCCAACTCAGAAAGACACACAGCCCCCGCCGGCGAGAACCAAGCAACCGGGGACGAGACGACACCCCCCCGAGGACCAGAGATCGCCAAGCCGACTATCGCTGGAACCGAGACAACCGAGGACGACGGAGCGGGGAAGGCCGCCAGAGAGAAGAAACCCACCAGACGGTCACCATCGGCCATGCCGAAACCACGGATGCCCGGAAGGTCTACGTGGAGGTGAGCATCGAGGGCGAGCCATGCCGGATGGAGGTAGACTCCGGATCCTACCTCTCCATGGTCGCCTGGAAAGAACTCAAGCGACTGGTGCCAAACATCCAGAAAAGAGGACTGGAGAACCAGAAGCTGATCATCAAGGACTATCAGGGGAACCGCATCCCCGTCATTGGGACCGGACAGTTCGAGGTGACTTTCAAAAACCGCACCGCGAAACTTCCCCTGACTATCGTGGACCGGAACCGACCCAGCCTCTTAGGACTCCAATGGTTCGCGCCACTCGGGATCGAGGTCACGGGAATAAACCACACCACAGAGGCCGACTGGGAGCAGCAGCTGGTGAGGGATTTCCAAGAAGTATTCGACGGCACCCTAGGCAAGTACAAAGGGCCCCCTATCTCTTTCAGCCTAGACCCAAATGTCGCCCCCATACGCCTAAAACCCAGACGGGTGCCTTTTGCACTCCGGAAGAAAATAGACGAGCAGATTGACAAGCTCCTCAAGCAGGGGGTTTTGCAGCCAATCGACCACGCCCGGTGGGAGACCCCCATAGTCACCCCAGTCAAGCCAGATGGGTCAATAAGGATCTGCGGGGACTATAAGGCCACCCTCAATTGCGCCCTGCAGCAAAGCGCCTACCCCGTCCCAGTAGTGCAACACCTATTACACTCGCTGGGGGGGGGCAAGGTCTTTGCGAAGCTCGACCTGGCGCAAGCCTATCAGCAACTGCCGGTCGATGAAGAAACCGCCGAGGCGCAAACAATAGTCACCCACCGGGGAGCGTTTCGTTGTAACCGACTCCAGTTTGGAGTCAGCGTAGCCCCAGGAATTTTCCAGAGCCTCATGGAGAGACTGCTGCGAGGAATCAAGGGGGTGGTTCCCTATTTTGACGATGTATTAGTGTCGGCAGCCAACCAGGAGGAACTAGAGGGTCGCCTAAGGGAGGTACTAGAAAAATTCAAAGGGGCCGGGCTAAAGGTGAAAAAAGAGAAATGCCAGCTATGCACAGAGCAAGTCGAGTTCCTGGGGTACCTCCTAGACCGACATGGCATCCACCCAACCGGAAGCAAGGTCAAAGCCATAAAGGAAGCCCCCACACCCAAGAACAAAACAGAGCTGCAGGCATTTCTGGGACTGCTAAATTTTTACAATGTGTTCTTGCCCCAAAAGGCGACCGCGGCAGAGCCTTTGCATAGGCTCCTGGACAGGACGGCCAAATGGACCTGGGGGAAATGGGAGGACACCGCATTCAAGAATATCAAAGACCTGCTCACCTCGGATGCCGTTCTCATTCAGTATAATGAGACCCTACCCATCGCCGTCACATGCGACGCCTCACCATTTGGCGTCGGCGCCGTCCTCAGCCATACACTCCCAGACGGAAAAGAAGCACCCATCGCTTTCTTTTCAAGAACACTCAGCAAACCCGAAAGAAACTACAGCCAATTAGATAAGGAGGCACTGGCTATCGTCGCAGCAGTAAAGAAGTTCCACGAGTACCTCTACGGCCGCCGTTTCACCCTCATCACGGACCACAAGCCGCTGCTGGGCATCCTGGCGGGGAACAAGGCCACCCCGAACATCCTATCCCCCAGGATGACAAGGTGGTCTGAGTTCCTCGCCGCCTACGACTACCGGCTCACACACAGACCCGGTAAGACGATCTCCCATGCAGACGCGTTGAGCCGCTCGCCGCTTCCCGACCTAGACAACGATCCAGCTCCCACGACGACCACCCTCACCATAGAGACATTGCCCGATCTACCCATAACCGCGTCAGACATTGCCCGAGAGACTAATAAAGACAAGCGTCTGGCGCGGGTATTACATTGGGTAGAAAAGGGATGGCCAGAGAAAGACAACGATGAAGCATTCAGGACATTCCGAAACCGGCAAACAGAACTGTCACTACAGAAAGGTTGTTTGCTATGGGGGGACAGGGTGGTCATACCGGAAAAACTGCAAGGGAAGGTATTAAAATTACTACACGAAGGGCACCTGGGGATTGTAAGGACTAAAGCTTTGGCCAGAAGCTATGCTTGGTGGCCAGGTATGGACAAGGAGATCGAGGCCTGGGTAGCCAAGTGCTCGCGCTGCCAAGAAACCAGACCAAATCCCCCCGCAGCACCAATATTAGAATGGGAAACGCCCAGGGGACCATGGTCGAGACTCCATATAGATTTTGCCGGGCCCACAAAAGGGAACACATTCCTAATCACGGTGGATGCTTACTCCAACTGGCTGGAGGTAAGCAACATGAAGACCACCACAACAGATGCAGTAACCAAGGTCTTAAACAAACTTTTCGCAACCCACGGTCTCCCGGATGTCATCGTGTCAGACAACGGACCCCAGTTCACCTCGCTGGAATTCGAAAGATTCCTAGCGGAACGAGGCATACGACACGCACTGACAGCGACGGCGCATCCGGCGGCCAATGGTAGGGCAGAACGGATGGTTCAATTTACAAAAAGAACCCTCCAAAAGATCGAACACGGGGACATACAAGAAAAAATAAATAAAATGCTCCTAATACAACATATCACCCCAAACACAACGACAAACAAAAGCCCGGCAGAATTACTAATGGGGAGAAAACTAAGGTCACCACTCGACAGACTACACCCCACATACAACCCGGAAAAACCCCCGGACTCATCTAGCAAGCACCGGGTTTTTGCACCAGGCGACGCAGTCTATGCAAAAAACCTTACCGGAGACCCACTATGGGTACCGGCAACTATAACCCAACTGACAGGACCCCACTCCTACCGGCTACAGACAACCGATGGACAGACATGGAAACGCCACATCGATCAAATAAGATCAAGAACAAAAAACACAACCGACACGCAACCAAACACAGACGACCCCGATAACACAAACCAAGAGGGGAGGGAAGATACAGGGGATCAAATAGGAAATAACCAGCAATACTCACCAGTCAACAGCCAACCCGAAGTCTCACCAGGAAGGAACAGCCAGGCCAGCTCAACCAGCCCGGAAAGACCAGGCAGGAGCGGCGAAAGTCGCAGCTCGACCAACCCGGGTAGACCAGGAGGGAGCTGCAACAAGAGGCCCAGCGACACCTTCCAGGGGGTTCCATCGACAGGGCCAAGAGAAACAGAAGTCCCGACCGAACCGGCCGGGAGCCAAACAACAACTAAGCTGCGCAAGTCAAGTAGACAAGTACGAAGCCCCGCCTACCTACGGGACTACGTTACGTAGGACCGAACCAAGAGGGGAGGGGTGTTCTGTACAAGTCAATTTACATACTCGTAGCCCCGCGTCGCGATTGGCTAAAGCGCGCGGCGACCGGATTGGTCGAGCGAGCCGCACTGATTGGCCCGTTGCGAATCCCCCGCGATTGGTGGAAACTAATCGCGGGAGATTCGAAGCGGTGTCATTGGCCGCGGCCGCCGCGGCTCGGAAATAAAAAGCCGCAGTTTTTTCCCTTCAAGCTTAAGCTGTATCCGGAGCCAATAAAGAGCTGAACTAAGTCACTGACTCCGAGTTTCCTTCCCGCGACGGACACGACACTTTTTCACTCTTATCACCAGTGTGTAGGCTGAGGCCTGAACTCTTAACAGTACTTGGTGGTGTCCTCTTTGAGTTTTATGCCAACATCTCTTCAGGCACTTCATTTCCCTCAAATTCCTCAGTAAACAAAACATTTGTTTCTGATTAGCGACTGGAGAGAAATTGTGCTATTTTATCAAGTGCTCTGGCCATATTACATAGGTCACCCAAACTTAAAGGCGAACTGTTTATCAGACTGAATAATCTGAATCTTTCCGGGAAGTGCTTCAATAGATCTACAGGTTGAAGATGTGGTTCCTTAGGGGTTTATGGTCTGGGATGGATGCCAACTGGACAGAGTCCATAGCGGATCTGCAGAATTCGTACACAGGGAAGTGTCACATTGATAAATTAAAAGTCATTGCAGGCTACAAAGGGATACCTAGTATATTGGGCAGCTGATGGAATGGCAGCAATGCTGGAGCTGGTGGTGGCACTGTGGCCTGGAAGCTTTTATAGGTTCTTGACAGTGCATCTTTTGGGGCAGCAATGGTGAATTTATTAACTTTTCAAAAATGTCTGTGGGCTGTGCAGGTCTGCTTGGAAAGCTACATATTGGCAAGCCTGGTCTACGGTGATGAGCAGGGCAATTTCTTATGGAATCATCAGGGATTGTTTTGAGCTTAGAGTCTGAGGAAATGGCTCATTTTGTCCAGTTGTGGGCAATGCCATAGCTTCTGTGGCATGTTATGAACATTTCTGATAGAAAATATTTATTTCTGGTTGTGTGTGTGTGTGTGTGTGTGTGTGTGTGAAAAACCTTTATTAAACATTAAAACATTAATAAAAAAGAATAAATACAAAATACAATACAACTCATTAAAATGAAAAACACTATAAACATTACAAATCATTTTGACAGTGCTTATATACCAGCTATTGTTCCAATACATGTTTCATATTCCTGGTTATTTCCCATACATTAACCTCTTTAAACTATTCCTTCCTTGTTTATTTACTCGCTTATTTCTATCATTTATGGCAAATTTATATTATTGATTTATCTGAATGTGTTTTCTTCACCTGAATTGATGAAGGCTGCTGTAGAATGAGGAGGAAATGTACTTGTGTTGTCTTGCACTAATATAAGTGGGTTAGCCCTATCATATCATTTGACAGTCTATATTGATGAATAAAAGAACAGGTTAAAAGACGGAGCTGTGGAAGACGTCGCTTATACATTGCTTAAAATTCCACAATGTTAAATTTTAACTTGCAAAATAATTCTCATTGGCACATTCTGATTTATATCTTGTAGTATTGCCGGGTGTATTTAAATTGATGTCCTCTGCTACTGAAATCTGCTTCAGCACCATGACAACCGGAGTAGCAGAAGTTGGGGGATTGCCCTTGGAGTCTTTGGTGACTTGTAAGCTGTGCTTATCTGAATATTCACTGGATAAGATGACCGCACTTCAGGATTGCAACTGCATCTTTTGTACCTCGGTAAGTATGGACAGCAATCTGTCTATTGTTGAAAGAAAAGAATGAGCTGAAAAACAATGTTCTGACATTAACTATCAGATTACTGCAGTAATTAAGAATGATATTTTCCATATTGCAGGGTAGACATGATAGTCATGGTCGCCAATGACCTTGTTGCACCAAGTTCTAAACCAACTCCCTTCATCTTCTTTTATTTATTTTTAGATACTTCTTTTTTTCAGGTACTTCAATTTAAAAAAAAAATAGGGAGAAAACTGGCATCTGCAAAAGCCCTGACCTTTCCCATCAGTAATAAATATACAGCTGGTATTTTTTTCTGATTTTTATAATGCTTTATTACATTGAACTCTGTAGGCTCAGGGCTGTCTGTTCTAATTGCAGCATTCTGGTACCTCTGCAACAGAACATTCCCAACCTTTTGCTGACTTCTTACAGATAAACTAAAATCCAGCCCTACAAATCATGTGCTTGTCTGCCAAGCTGCAGGTCTTTTTTTTTTTATTCCTACTAACCCAGCGAAAGGACAGAGAAAAATCATGTAAAGGATTGTAAAACTCTGCCAATCTATCTGTCAATAGGAACAACTTTCGGAAAATAGAACAGGTCCAAATGCGGTGTGTCAGAAGAAATCAATGAAAAAAAATTGACTTTGAAAATGGGCAAAGTTTGGACTGAGGTGAAAAAAAATAGAAGTATAGAAAAAAAAAAAGAGAGAATCCTTATAGGATGGGTAGTGATGGAAGTGACTCAGAATGGTAGCTCCTGCTCCATTCTAAACCCTTATCCGGCTGCTGATCACAGAGCATATCCACACACACCCCCACTCATGCTTCTTAGTGCGCATACATGCACAAAAGCACACAGATGCAAGTGGAATAGAGAGGCATAGATGAGGTGCCAGGCATTGCTTTGTTACACATAAGAAAATACAGATGGTTCCTATGGCAGGTGCTGACAAATTAGATTAGAAAGAACTCCAGAAATTATAGTCTTCATGCTTTCCTTAACTAATTTTGGAATTTAGTTCTTTAATTAAAATTCTGCAATAGTGGTAGAGGTAAGGAATTAATAGTGTTCAGATTTATTTTTTATCAGATGTGAAAAAAGGTTTATCACTCAGCTATCATATCAATATGAGTAAAGTAAAATTCAGATTCCAATATCTGATCAAAGGACCCAAACATGTGAATGAAAAGTGCAGTTTAATGGATATATATGCATGTGACTGGCACATTATATACATCTGAGTAAATATTTAAATAATAAATATTTTGAGTGCTGGGACTCTTTGTGAATTGAGCCAGAAAAGGCTGCCAATAGCTGTGATCTAGTGAAGAAACCAATGTTGGTTATACTTTTGATGTATAACAACAAATTCTTGAAAACCTGGTTGTATAATTATAGAATTTTTTAATAAGGTATTAATTTGAGTCAAGTTGCTCTTTATTAATTTTATTAATTTTACAATAATTTTTTGGTATAAAATTGTCCAGATAGTAGTAAAAAAAGGGCTAAATATTGCACTACTCATTTAACATGCACATTAAGGAATGCAGAATTACAAATCCTTCAAGTCTTAACAATGGCCTCCTAGTAATCTTATTTGCCAGGAATAGTAAATAGATTGTAGCAACTGAAGTTCAGTGCATAGACTTCATATTTCACAAAATGTTTGTGGCTTACAAGACCTCTTACAACATTTGTGTGAACTCTTAACAAATTTGTTTGGAGTGAGTTTGATACTGTAAACTTTATTTTGAAACCTTTCAAAATTATTTCATTATTTCAAAATCATTTTTGTTTACGTAAATTAGAATTCAAGAGAAGACCTTGGGTGTTGTCTCAGTCTTAATAACTTCTTACAAAATCTAATCTTACAATTAAGTTGATAATATCTATAGATCATTAATTGTATTTTTTGTAAGTTTCATTTCAAGGGAAGTATTTTCATTATAATCATAGAATGTAGAGGTTAGGATTGCTTTTATTGTAACAGCTAGAGTAACAGAATGTTGGAAGTCTAAGGAAGATGCATTCCCCTCCCTTATTTTATATTTCTGGGCACTCGGGTGGGGCCTGTTTGAGATGTTTATTGAAACTATTTTTTTGGCCCAGGTAAAGCCCCTCTTAATGTAATTGTTGTCTTGATAGTGGTTCATCTTTCTGTCCTTTAAGGTCATTCCATAGGTTCACTATAGCTAGCGATATATCAGACATTTATAAACACAAGACAGTGTAATAGTTGTAATAATAGGTGTATGACTTTCCTTGTATTCTTAAAAAAGAATCTGTCTGAACCAGCTGTGGCTCTACTTTGTTTAACATATTACATGACTGAGATCTGGACCCTGTATTTGATTGAGGTTGCAAATATTAAGCAATTTACCTGTGTGGCATGTCCAATGTATATCAACCTACCCAGCCAAATAACTTTTAAGATACAGATAATCCTTGAGTTACAATCACAACTGAGCTCAAAATTTCTGTTGCTAAGCAAGACAGTTGTTAAGTAGGTTTTGACTTATTTAACATCCTTTCTTGCCACAATTGTTAAGTGAATCACTGCAATTGCTAAATTAGTAACGTGGTTGTTAATGAATCTGGCTTTCCCGTTGATTTTGCTGGTCAGAAGGTCAAAAACGGTGATCACATGATCCCCGGACACTGTAACTGTCATAAATATGAATTAGTTGCCAAGCATCTGAATTTTGATTACACGACTACCTTCTGAATTACAGGCAGCATATGGAGAATCATTATCCTCATATCTGATTTATGGCCTTTGGATAGTTAGCTGGCTGACTTCTGTGCGTCTTAATTAAACAGGCTTTTGGTCTGATTCAAAAGAACTGCTCTTCAGCAGGGATAAAGTTAGTTATTTGAATTTTCAGTGCTATGCTTTGGGGTGGCTTGGAGACGAACATAAATTTACATTTGATTTGCTATAAATCAGAGATATTAACCATTTATGGAGAATTTTATAAATTCTGCATTGGTATGACACTAAGACTAGTTCTATTATAATGTTTTAAATTAAAACAATACACATTTCTCTTTAATAAAAATAAGAGACTTTTGCCATTTTCCTGGTCTAGTCTGATCAGCTGCATTTAACTAGCGGTACATGGGAGAATGTGACCTCCACAAAAGGTTAACTTAACATTATAAACCTATTTTATCTTGTATACTGTATAGTACAGTGCGGGTTTGTATCCAGTTTCTGTTCTGAATATGTCTCTTGAGAACTGGAAGGTAAACTCATCTGTTACTTCCTTTCTTTGTTTTAGGTTAAATTCTTTTGCAGAAATAGAGCTATGCAGCAACACATGGTTTCAGTTGTTTATCCTGTTTCTCAATGCCCTATTCTTGAGACCTATGCAGAGAAGAAGAATGTGAACTAAGGATGAATGGATTTATGTGGAATGTGCTTGTGTGCCTCTAGAAATGGTATTATGAGAGACCCATTATGGTTAGACATACATTTCGCTCTATTCTTATTTGATCCCTTTGAACTAAGCTCTGTCATTTAAAATGCTTGTATTCACTTCTCATCTAACAGCAAACACTTTTTGAAACACTTCAATTTCTGTAGGGCCAGATAACTGACAGTTGATCTCAGAAAGCTAAGCAGGTTCAGAGACTTGGTTAGCACATGGATGGGAGAACAGCCAGAACTGCCAGGACTGGGAAATTGAAAAAAAAAAACATACTGGAAAATGACCAGAGCAAACATTTATCTATTGTTCTTAAGAAAATGACTTGGTAGTATCCATGACATCAGAAGAAGATGGACTTGATTTGATAGATACGTTAATTTTTTTTGTGTTTTATTCCTAAAATTGTTGACAGAGCCAGGAAACATGCAACTCGGCACAATAGCAGACCACATGTAATGGATTACGTGCAACACACACTAATTATTGTTTAACATGCAGTACATGAGCCTGCTTTAAAAGGTGATATATTATGGGAACCATGCTGAGAACCATTTTAAAGCTGTATGTTGGCAACTCTCTTGATAGAGTTATCAGGATCCTAATCAGAGGTGGTATTCAGTAGGTTCTGACCAGTTCTGCAGAACCGGTATTGGAAATTTTGAGTAGTTTGGAATACCACCTCTGACTGGCCCTTCCTCCAGCTATTCTCTGTCTCCTGAGTCCCAGCTGATTGGCTGGGCCATCTTTTGTTGCTGTGCATGGGAGAACAGAGCTGGAAAGCAGGTTAGTGGGGTGGGGAGAGATGGGGATTTTACAGTATTCTTCCCCTGGAGTGGGGTGTATAGTGTATTCACGTATAGACTTCTAATACCACATTCCTATTGGTTAAACAACATAGCTTAACGATTGGTTAAGAACAACAGTTTCCGATTGGCTGCCTAAAGCGGCGGGAAGTTTAAATACATGCCATTGGTTGCGAGCCGCGAGCAGCCTCTATAAAAAGGGCTGCCACGGCTCGACTTTAGTTGAAGTTACTGGTTGCTAATAAAGAGCTGAATTCAACTCCAGTCTTCGAGTCTGCTTATTCCTGGCGATAGAACAGGGTGGAATGGAGATTTTTACAGTATCCTTCCCCTGCTACGCCCACCAAGCCACACCCACAGAACCGGTAGTAAAAAGTTTTGAATCCCACCACTGATTCTAATGCCAATGGCAAGTGTACCTGTAACAGTGGTTAGGCTCCAGATCTCTGCATGTATAGTATTTGATTTAAAAATAAAACAGCAAAACATTTTTCAAATTTAGCTAGATCATTAAATTGTGTTACTTCTGTTTCACACTAGAATAAGAGATCCTGATGTTTTATCACTATAGCTGTATCAAGAGCAAATAGCATGATTGCTGAAACCCAAGTGGGATTGGTGGTTGTGATCATTTGGATGCAGCTTCTTGGCAAAAATAGCTCAAAGGCAGCATGCCAAGACAGATTTGAGAAAGATGCAAAATAATTGCAGTGGAAAATATAGCAAAGGAGCTGTGAGGTCGAATTAGTGGATATATACA